AAATTAGTTTAATTTATTACAAATCAAATCAGAGCAGGGCAGTGAGACAAATAAAAGCAAATCTTAAAACACCTTCCCCCACCCCTCCCTTCTTCCCAGGCTTAACTTTACTCCTGAATTCTCTATCTCCTACCTGCCAGCAATGCAGGGGGATGGGGAATGGGGCTGTTCAGTTCATCACACATTATCTTGTCCTCCTCAGGAGGAGGACTCCTTACATTCTTTCCCTGCTCCAGCATGGGATCCCTCCCACGGGGTGCAGTCCTTTAGCAACAGACTGCTCCAGCGTGGGTCCTCTGTGGTGTTGCAAGTCCTGCAGCAAATCTGTGCCAGTGTGGGCTTCTGATAAGGTTACAGCTTTCTTTGGGTATCCCCTTGCTCTGGCATAGGGTTCTGATGGGCTGCAGGTGGGTTTCTGCTCCACCATGGACCTCCATGGCTGCAGGGGCACAGCCTGACTCACCATGGTCTGCACCACGGGTTGCATCTGCTCCAGTGCCTGCAGCACCTCCTCCCCTCCTGCACTGACCTTGGTGTCTGCAGAGCTGTTTCTCTCACACATTCTCACTCCTCTACCTGACTGAAATTGCTCTTGTGCAGTAATTTTTTCCCCATTTTAAATACATTATCCCAGAGGTACTGCCACTGTCGCTGATGGGCACAGCTTTGGCCAGCAGTGCGTCTGTCTTGTAGCCAGCTGGCATTGGCTCTATTGGACACAGGGGAAGCTTCTAGAAGCTTCTCACAGAAGCCACCCCTGTACCCCCCTGCTACCAAAACTTTGCCACACAAACCCAATACAGTGCCTCCAAACTAAAAGCTACTGATAGACAGTAGGTTTGTGTTTCTTGCTGTTTTAAAAAGCCTAAGTAAAATAATTCTGTGAGGCTGCAAGTGCTTTACATATGTATATAATTTTGTTGGTCGGATTGCCATTATCACAATAACCTTTTACTAGGGGTATGCAGCATTGCTGAAATGCTTGTGGAATGTTTTACTTATTACAAACAATGTTATGTTTTGCAATGTACTGTTGAACCTGATGTTTGCTAATATCAATAGAATTTGGTTTATTAAGGCTTGGTCGTGGAATCAGACTTGTTTAATATTTTTTGTTAGTGACCTTGGCACTGATCTTCAGATGATGTAGAATTGTGCAATAGCATTAATACAGAGAAGGAATAGACTAATGTAGGAAGAAATTAGTTATCTTTATAACAGAGGAATAGAGGAATATATAGGGATTGTATGAATACAACCACCGACAAAAATTCTTGCTAGAAACTTTTCCACTGGACAAACCTAAAAAGGGAGACCCCTGAAGGCAGAGAGTGAGCTGTTGTCATGATATAGGCTTGAATAAGGCAAGAGCAAGAAAAGGCTATATGAGGGAAGGTGGTGGGCAATGTGCTGGAGAGGCCGTCCTGGCAGTGAGGGTGCATTCTGCTCAGCGTTGACAGGGCACAGAGCTGGGTGCTCACCCTTCACAGTGGGAACAGTACAGCTGCCGTGTTAAAAAAGGAAGCAGTGAGGCAGGCTGACTGCCTCTTGTTGTGCTGCGACATGCTGATTCTGCAAAACTTACTGGGGATGGGAGTTTGAATGTGTTCCCCTTAGACAGGGCCTTGTGGAATGTGTAAGGTATTGAAACTGAATACTGACCCAGGAGATTTTCTATCTCCAATATTAAAGTTGCTCCCAGCACTGTTAGAGTGAGTATTTATGGTAAACAGGGTTACTCTAGCACTGGCCAAAGCTCCTGTCTTTCTATGCGTAATGTAGCATCTCTGTATGGAATGTGGTTTTTCCAGTGTTATATATTTCAGTATGTTTCAAGGACAAGGTTCAGTTCAAGAACACAAAACCAAGCTATGTCAATTACATTATGCAAGAAAAAAACAGGTTGCAGTGATATGTTCTCTGTAGACCACATTGGAAATAACATTTCTAATTTCCATGTTTTGAGCGCATGAAAGGTGGTTTCAAAAGAGTTAAAAAAGTAAGTACCCATATTTTTAAGGCATGTTGTGCAGTGGTATGTTGTGTTATCTCTTTGGGCTTTATGTGTACATTGTAATACTTACAAGGAAACTGGGTTTCTCTCTAATCTTAAGGTTCCTGAAATATTGGAAGCTTTGTGTATCAGTGGCAAGAAAGAGAATGCCATGTAGAGTTTTAGACAGCTATACGTTTTGACCGTTTGATGTGATATATATGTTTATGAGTGTATATATATATACAATTTTATTTTAGAATAAGCACTGTAATGGGATAGCACTAGTGGATAAAATATAGCAATAGGTCCCATTTGGGCACTTAGATGACAGCTGAAGTGGGGGGAAGAGGAAATGTTATGCAAACTTATCAATGGAAAAAAAGTTCCCACTAAAGAAATGGAGATGACTGTGATGAGAGAATGAGCATGGCTGTTACCTGTCTGTCTTACCAGTGTCTGTGGCTGATGATGCACTGAGATGATTGTTGAAAACAGGTCGCAGTACAAGTGAGCAGGAGCATTAAATTGGTGCCTCTGAGAACTGCATTCAGTTCTCTGTTCTACTCTTGGGACCACTCTTTTATGGATAGGCTTGGAGTGTCTCAAGGTGTGGTACTTTTCTGCAATGGCACTGCTACATGTCTAACGTAGGCAGGGACCAGGAGGGAAGCGAGACATGTCTTAGTTCCAGTGCAGATCTACTTTGCAACCCCTGTCCCAGCCCAAGGACTTTTGCTCACCAGGCACTGCTTGAGAACTTTATGATGGGAGAATCTCACCTGAGCAAAGCCAGTTGAACAAGGAGCTGCACATAGAAGGTAAAACTCTCCTCCTGTCAATGACTCTAGTGCCAGCTTCTCTGTAGAACGGAACTATTGTTTTGGACAGTGAACGTTAATGACTTGCACATGCTTAGCTTTGCAAGCCTTCAAGTAACGTGATAGTCTGCTAGGTGTTACCAAGTCTCTAGTAAATGCACTCCTGTTCTGATTGTGCTTTATAATTTCAATTTAGCTGTTTTGAAACCTAGTGTGGAACATCACTAGTGTGAAAGTATCCAAATTGCACACCTGTGTGTGCTTCTGCACTTCCCAAAGAATGACTCAGGCATCTCTTTCAGACAGTACAATTAGTGTTTCTTTCAGGAAATCCAGTTTCCTCTGGCATTTATTCCAGTCCTCTGCTTCTTTGGATTGCAGATGCAGAAAAATAAATAAAAGGGATTGACATACTTCTATGCAAGAAGGAAAGCTAAGTGAAACTTAAGAGGGATTCTTTGATCTATCAACCATGAGCTAGCAAGTACATCAGCCATGAACTGGCATATAGCTATGACAGCTTCAGATAAATTCAGGCCAGCAGTATTGCCAATGACTGATTTGTACTGCAATTAACAGGATTTGGGACCGCATTCTGGCCATGGTAGGAGTACTGGAGATGTCAAGTGATTTGATTTTTTTTTTTTTAAATCTTTTTTTTTTTTCATTTTTTTTTCTCAGCTCCGTCTCTCTGTTTCTTTGATCAAAGCAGCTAAGCACAACTGATGCAGCAAACAGCCCTCCCAGATTGTTACTCTTCTCACTACTCACTTCTCATGGTGTTTGTACCTTGAGTAACACCTGGGTTGTTCTCCATTACTGTTCTGGCACTTAGCTGGAGAGAATTTCTGTTGAATGAAGGAGGGAAAATAAATCATTGCCCGCTTCCTTTCCCTTTTCCTTGTGCTGTGAGCCTTGGCAGGGTTCTCTGGTAGGGGTGGGTGAAAGAAATGGGAGCCAAAGGCACAGTATTTGTGTTATAGAGTGATAATTGTGAACAGTATTATTAGAGAGGTGCAAAACATGATTTTATTTTATTTTATTTTTTATCTATAGCAAGTGGTTATTTGGTTCTCCCTGTATTTAGACTGGTACTGCTGCTATTGTGTATATGTTCCTGTCATGGTTAAAGCTGAAACCTGGAGAGTACTCTATCTGCATTATATCTTTGTCTTTTGGAAAGCAGTGAGTCTTTGCACAAAATATATTCAAGTATTATATTTAAAATATAATAAGTTTTATATAATATTTTAGGTGCAGGGCTGAAGGTTCAAAAGAGTGTTCTTCAGGTACCCTTCCAAAAGGAGATTCAAGAGATGTTAGGTTTCTTCTTAGATACAGAGAAGAATGGCAAAGCCTGAGTCCCACTCTCAGAAGTCAATAAAATATTAAAGTCTGCTAGATTTTCCATCTGTACTTATTTATCTGTCTTTCAGTTTCTCATCCAGCCTAATAAGTACTATTTGGCTTAAGTATGTATTTCAGAAGACATCCAGACTTGCCTAAAGACATCAAGTGATGGAGAATTTACCACTTTTCTTAGTTTAATTAATGGAAAGGAGTAGTTGATGAAAGACTGGTTTATTCACTAGTTCAATTACAGCTGGAGAATTTATTGCCTATGTTTGATGTGAAAAAGCACTGTCTTTATTTCTGAAAGAGCTGCAATGTGGTGACTTGGTTTTAGAAATACTTGCATTTTAATAGCACCTACTGTAGAAGACAGGCTAGAGTTCCTTATATATGGTAGTTACTTTTCTGGAGATATAAGCCATAACTAAACCATCATGGTGGTAAGTTGCCTCTAGAATGTTTTTATATCATGAGAAAATAGGTAAACATCAGAGAATTTTGTTTTGAGCATAAGCCTGAAAATAAAAAAAACTTGGACTCTGGAAATCCAAGAGTCCTTAGCTTCATGATACTGAATTTACATAGGTACCACATCACATGGAATATGATGCATCAGGTGTGTTCACCCTGGTATTCCAGCCACAGGTAAAAAGAACTCTTGTTTATCACTTTATATGCTAATAAATCTATTTTCATGAGCACGTGGTATCTTTGTGCCTTCAGGATGGAGCTACTGGTTATATTTGTATTACTCTGATAGTGCTTGATTATAAAGTTTCCATTGATTCTGTGTGTTTATTTTAAGAATGACTAGGGTTTTTTTAACTTTGCAGAGTACAGATGCCAACTCAAATGTGAGGAAAAGAACAAATGCCACAGTACAGTCCGAAGCTGATGGTAGGAGCCGAATTGACACAAGGCATAGCTCCATCCAGCCTCCCTCTGTAGCTCAGGGGTCTTCTGACATTACACCCCATTCCCTTTCTGCATCAAGTCCCAACCCTTTCACACGAATCAATGCATCAGAGACATTATCTTCTGCAAGAGCTACCCCTCCAGCTCCTCCTTCTACCCCAATTTTAACTGGATTTGTATCCCAGCATGCCACAGCTGGATCCCCTTCCATTCAGCGCCTGCTTGGATCTAGACTGGAGCAGATTCAGACCACCACTCCTAACATGTTAGGAGGATCTGCAAAGCCATCTGCTGTCACACCACCTGCTCCCCCCGCCTCTCATTCTGGCACGAGTAAGATAGACAAATATGCACGCATTTTATTTCCTGTTACCTTTGGAGCATTTAACATGGTCTACTGGGTGGTGTATCTATCCAAGGATACCATGGAAAAATCGGAAAGTCTAATGTAGTTTTGCTGCTATGTAGTAGTTCCTAAATTATACTCACATTTGATGCAGAGTTTCTTCTTTTGAAACTATTAAAAAAAGGTCAATGATTCTTATTTATAAAAGCTGTGTGCTACTTTCCCATTGTAAAGGCTGGAGTTATTGGGGATAATTAGTTGACTCCTACCAGGGTAATGGGTAACAGATTTATCTTCCTCCCTTCAGCTAGCAGTGAACCATCACTTTCTTCAGACTACCCTGGCTACACAGAACTTGCCTTTGGGAGGAACATGCACCCGAAACAAATCAAAGGTAGAGGTGCACAGCTGTGCAGTGGAACACATCTTGACTGCTAGGAATATGCATGTTGATTATTTCAGATCCCTGAGGCACCCAGCACTGCTGTCTGGACAGAGCATTGCATTCTTGGAGTGCAAGGTCCATGTCCTGAATATTTTGACAGTGCTTGATAGAAAAAGGACTTTCCCTGCTAGATTTAAATTGGCAGAATGGGGGGAAGAAAATGAACAGTGGAAAAAGAAAAGAGAGTCCAGCCTGGGAGAGTGCAACTCCAGAAAAGTTATGCAAAGGAGTTGTAGAGCTCCATATATTTTTACTAAGCATTATTTTGCATTGCAACCTGGGAAATTCTCACTCCAAAATAAGAATGAGTGAACCTTGTAAAATCTGAAATCTAATGTAATTTTCAAAATTGGAGGTTTTGGTTTGGTAAGGTAATCTTAAGTGTTGATTCTTTTTTTGACCTTGTTGACCAGCTTGAGTAGCTTTATTCCTAAATTACATCAGTTGTGGTAGATGAGGACCAGGCCCACAGTCTTCAACTTTTTATTTGAAATTTTTGTTCTATCTTTGGATGCTTTGGGGTTTAGGATCACACCCCCCTCCCTATGTTTCAATCACATTCCTCTGATTTCCTTTGAACACATATTCCTCCCCTCACTCCCCCCACCCCCCACTTCATATACATTTGTGTTACATTTTCAACACAGTTTATAAAAATGGCTTCAAAATTGAGCAAAACAAATTTTCCTGTGCTTTGATGAGTGTGGCTATGGCACATCTATGAGTGAATGAGAGACACCTTTTTTTGTGAAGGAATGCTGTGACATAAATATGAAAATAAAGGTTTTAGATGGAGCCTGAGGAATACAAAGTTTATGATCCATTTGTTTCTCTCAAACTGTGGCATAGATAAGTTCTTTTCTTAGTGGCTCAAATTGCAATATGCAGGCAGGCAACTTTTATTAAAGAATTGAATTGTTTAAACCTGATAGAAATCTTAATTAGAAACGTTCTTTTCATGAGAATGGGTGGAAGATATGCTGGGAATAAACCTGAAAATGTTTGTACAGATCCGTCTGGTTAGGCAAGTGGTTAGTGTTTCTGTGCAAGTGACATGTAAAAATCAAAGGCCAAATTCTCAGCTGTGATTTGGCTGTGCCTTCAAAGGGTCTGGGCTAATCCTTGGCTTCAGTTGACTGGAATAGCAGATTGGTGGCCTATGGTCAAAGTTTTATGTTGGGGGCAGATCAGGTAAGTGTTGAGTGATTTTTGTGCTGAGGTAATAATAAAGTGACTGATGGAGGCCATAAGAATCTGGGACACTTGAGGGCATGCATGAGACTGCCCTAGACTGTGTTGGGAGAAGAATCAGAGTAAAAAGACTCTGTAATGGTGAAATTATGACTGTATTGTTGTGCCTCTTTCTGTCTCTTCAAACCTTTTAGGCAGTTTATGGCTGAGAATATGACATTTAACTTGCACGACCTGAGACACTGCAAGACTACAGCATGTAGTATGGATCCCAGGCTGCTATTTCATGTATAGCATTGGGCTGTCAATGGTAGAATGATAGGGATGTGGGAATGTTTTAGATGACTTTATTATGATATAGTGGTATAAGCTGTTACCTTAGCCTGTTCTTCACTTAAATAATGCTCTCAGAAGGCCAGGTATGGTCCATTCCTTTTTGTGTTTTACATCTAGAAGAAGTCTGTGATTACAACATTCTTCAGAAAACCATTACATGTGCCATAGCACCGAACTGAAAATGGAGCACCTGCGCAAGGTGTCTAATTGCAGTAGTTTGCATCTTTGGCTGTATCTCTGGTTGCTATAGCGGCTTCTTCCCTGATTTGATCGCATTATTTCAGATTGTCAGAATAGAAGATAGTATACAAGAGATTGTTTGTTTATTTTGTTGAGCCAGAAGAAACGAAGCTACTTCTCTGCAATTATTGATCATAATTGCACAAGTGAGATAATATTTCTAGTATGAAGAATGATGGCCTGCTGTGTTTCGAACCTAGTGTTTGCACCATAAGTTACTGAAATTACTCTGTTTTCCTCTATGCTAAAAACCAAGTGTGCTTTCTGTCAGGCAGAGCTTCAAACAACTCACTAGAAATAGCTGTCTCATCCTTCCACCCATCCCTGTATACTGATTGTACAGCTTTTTCAAGTGCATTGTTCAGTAGGAGCAACACAGGTTCAGGGTTCAGTGTGCTGTTTGTATTCATTTGAATTCTGATTTCATTTTAAAGACTTATAAAGAAGAAAAAAGGATTAAAAAAAAAAATATTCCAAATATTTATATCCTTCTATTTTGGAAGAATTTTTAATGATACCACACTAAGAAAATCTATTTTTAACCCATCAATTTATGTCTGAAGTACCTTCCAACATTTGAATGCCTATGTTCGAAATGAGATTTCAAGAAAAAAATCATGAGTCTAGGACTCATAGGACTCTAATTATAAGTCTAGGACTAATTTATTGTACTGTGCTACATTTTTGTGTTACAGTACATAAAAAAGCTATTGTAACTAGCTTTCCAAAGTACCTATGGACAATGTGAATAGGAGTTTATTGTTAACAGTTGCTCTTTATTATATTTAATCTCCTTGTAGAGTGATCAGAAACAGTTAAAAGCCTGAAGTAAACTGGCAGGTTCTGAATACTGTGTAATTCAGAAGCACAAACAAAATCTGTATTAAATGTAGTAGCTCAAATACTCAACACTGCTAACTAAAATCCTAAGGGAGAATGTTGCAGGTGTCATTTCTTTGACCAAATGATTAATTAGGGACGGGTCTGTGTGAGATGAACTCTGCGGGAGCTATTTTAGTATTTGCTATTGCCTACGTCAGACAATCTTTTTTGACAGTACCGTAGTGATTTAAAAGTAACCAAACCCTTCAGGTAAGTCATCTCAATCAACAGAAAGGAAACTGGATAGAAAGCCAAAAAACCTTACCAGGAAACAGAGATCTCCACTGACTGCTGTTTCCTCGGAGACATTGTTACCAACAGCAGAACTCCCACAGATTGCAGTGATGCAGCCCCAACCACTAGCAAAATCATTTGAGAGAACCAGTTAAAAACTAAGTTGAGGGAGATTGCCTTCATGGGAACTGAAGTATGTTTTATAGACAATTGTGAGCAAGGTCAAATTTCTATCAGCCTGCTATTAACAAGTTTCACTTCAAGTACGAAAATAATGAAGCCAAGCAAGGTGACAAGCCTAGACCCCAGCTCTCTTTGGTGACCTGAGCTGTTCAAGCTCACTGGCAGAACTGGATTATGTTTCTCCTCCTATAAATGGGCTCATCTCCATCAAATGGATGTTGGTAGCACATTTCTTCTCCCATGTGTCTTTTAAGGGAAAACCAAGTAGACTTTGTAGACAGTTTTGTCATCCAGTCATTACCCTGTGATCAGGCAAATAGACCATAAGATAATTTGATGACAGAGGTAAATAATTTAATAAGGAATATGATTAGAGCTTTTCTGTTAATAGGAACTAAAAGGTATTTATTACAGAATGTTCAAACATGCCCTTTGGCATCTTACCATTTTCATCATTCAGGATGGACCTTGCAAAAAAATTGGGGAAACCAAGTAACTGTATTTAATTGGATAGAACCAGTATTTCTACAGAAAAGCAGATGAACTCAGCTTTTCAATATGCACAGAATTCTGTCTCCTTCCATTTTCTTGCATATCTCCTGTATATCATTTGGCTGAGGTATACCTTATGCTTTAGCACCGTGTCTGTATGCCATGTGAAGACATCGGAGTATACAGTGTATATGTATCCAGTTTATCCAAAACCTAACATTCCCATATTCCTTCTGCTATTGGAAGTGGAGGGAAGGCCAGAATGGAAGAAATGACCATATTGTCCCCCTGAGACATTTTCCCAGAGGTGCTACAGGAGATTTCCTAGGAGAATCTTGCTCAATGTGAAAGCTGAAGCACGGTTTCTGCTGTAGCACAATCACCCTCCAAATCCCCAAAGCTTCCAAGAGGTCTATTTAGAAAGCAGAGTAGATGATGGACCTTGCACACTGTGCTCCAGAATTTTTGCTTGACCCAAAAGTTTTAGGAAGAAAGAAGTTTTGGTGAGTTCCTTCTTGTCTTCCTGGGACTTGTCAATAGGCTTGACTGCACTAAAATAGGTAGGTGTTCTGTGGCTAGCACTGACTGTTGTGAACTGCAGTACAGACAGCTGACAAAATTTGCTCTTGGTTTTATTTAACCCCAACATTAAACAACAGATTAGGAAAATGGCAGCTGAGGTGTTGAGAAGCCTAGGTGAAGTATAATGTTTTCTGATAAAGCCAAGGATGATCAAAGTTGTAGAAGCATTGCATAACTATGTAGTAGTAAGTTTGTGCAGGTCAGCGGAAAGTGGGGAGAACAGGAGGGGCTTCTCTACATAGTCTGACAAGAATAAAGTGAAACAGCATAAAGTTGGAGGAGCAAACCTCCACAAATAAGATTTCTTATTTAGTGAAAATCCAAAAGCTAAATAGCCCCATGGAGGTCAGTATAAACTACATCCCCAATCCCCCCAGACTAGGAAAAAATCCAGGAAATAAAAGAAACCAGTTAAATGACAATAGCATCTTTTCTCACCATTTTTTTCCAGACTTTATATTTCTTTCACTGTGTGATTTCAAGGAAAATTACTTATGTTGTTATAAGGGTGTGTACTGGTATCCATTGAAATCAATAGGTGTTTCTCATTGGCTTCAATGTACTTTGAACAGGAAGTTTGAACACTTTGAAAAGAAAAATGCACCATTTTGAAAGAGTCTGATAGGCATTAATTTGTATAGTTTTAATTTGTAGATCTCCCCTCAGAGTCAAAATGTAGCCTTTTTGGATAAAACGTGTGCGGTGAGCAGTTTCATCATGTTCTAAGTAAATCAGACTGAAAGTGTTTGCCACATCCCAAGCAAGTGAGAGTAGTGTGAAGTACAGAGCACTCTATAAAGATCTCTGCTAATGTTATGTACCGTTGTTTTAACCGGAGGGAATGAAAAATACAGTTATTGTAAAATTGGTAGAATTTGTATGACATACCTTGTTTTCACATGAATTAGACAATGCAGTAGGCATTTACTTCAAAATTGACTAACAGGGCCTTCTAGACCGTAATGTAATGCATCTACATATATTTCAGACTTATGCTTTTTTATATTATTCCACTAGAAAGGACTTGAAAGCAAACCAGTCCCTATCCACTTCAGTTCACTACATTTTTTTTTTTGTTATATTCTATTTTAATTTCTCTTGTGCAAGAGAAACTGAGAGTGTGATGGCTTCTTTAAAATAAAAATAACAGCAGGAAAAATAAAAAGCCTTGGAGATTTCCTTTTTAGAAAACCATCCAAATTTCCATCAACTATTGAATGCTCTTTTTATATAATAGCATAGTTTTAGCATTTAAAATACTAATGTGATTGCAGCCTGGATGCATGCATATGTATGTATCCATTCAAATAATATGAATTCCCTGAACTGTAAGGGAGGCAGACTCAAGACACAGTTACAAGCAGTCTTGTTTTGGAAGATTTCCTTTTTGGATGGAAAGCACCATGTAAGGTAGGTAATTTTTTTAATTTTTTAATTTTTTATTATCATCTTCATACCTGTATTTT